GATCCGGCAGAGACTCAAGACAGCTCAGAGTCGACAGAAATCTTCAGCCGATCATCATCGACGAGACATTCAATTCGAGGTTGGCGAGCCAGCATTTCTCAGAGTTCGTTCGATTCGCGGAGTCGTTCGATTCGGAAAGAGAGGGAAGCTGCACCCTCGATTCATCGGTCCGTTTGAGGTTCTCGAGCGAGTAGGTGAAGTCGCGTATCGATTAGCCCTACCTCCCGAGTTATCAGGCATTCATAATGTATTTCACGCATCTATGTTGCGTAAGTACGTGTGCGACCCCGATCATGTCATTCCCCATTCAGATATTCAGGTTTAGCCAGATCTTTTGTACGAGGAGCGACCGGTAGCTGTACTAGACCGTCAGGTTCGTCGGCTCCGGAAGCGAGATGTTCCCCTCGTGCGTATTCAGTGGGATCGCCACGGAGCTACTTGGGAGGCGGAGTCCGATATTCGCGCTCGTTTTCCAGATTTTCCGTTCTGATGTACACATTTCTTGTTCTTTGTACATAAGTTCATGTATATTCAGTTATATTTTGAATTTCCAAGGACGAAAATTTGTAAGGAGGGAGGATTGTAATATCTCGTCAGTTTATCAGTATAAATCATGTTTTTATTTCCGATATATTAATATCGTCGAGTATTAAAATTTTCGGAATTAAATTATTTTAGTCATTTCAGTTAAATTACCGGAAATTATTTTCGACGTCCCGTTTACGTTCGGAATAATTTTGGTAATTAAGTATTATGTTTAATTAAATAATTAAACATGATTAAGTGATTAATTAGCAATTAATCACGATTAAGGCCATTAAGCCGTGAGGATTTTCCTAATTATATTCAAAATTTGCCGAGAGCACATTAGTGGGGGAAATTTGGTCTTCAACTAATAGGATGAGGTGGCAAGTTTTTAAGATCATTAGTCATCCATTAATCCTCGTATTATCTCCAAGTGTCAAGCTAAGGACATGACACAAATCACCTCATCATCATTATCCCAATCGGTTCTAATATTTATATGTTAGAAGTTTGGGAAATTACCACTTTTCCCATAAGTAATGTTCATCCTATATTAAGTCCTTATATATGTACTATATAAGAGAGTTAGTGTAATTTGGAGAGGAGATTATCGCAAGGAGTTAGCCTGCAAGTACCGCAAGCTCATCCCACGCCGCATCGCAGGCCCAGCACCCGCACCGCACGGCGACGCATCGCACGCGGTGAGCCACACGAACACCGGAGTCCGAAGTATTGCTGTCAGTCGAGCATAAACGGAGGTAATTTCAGTGTGGTTGTAGGCTGAGATTATCATGTTCTTTAAGTCAGTTTTCAGTTCAAGCTTCCATGCGGGTCATGCATAGGTTCGGCCGTGCGAGTAGCTATATCGAGTCATGTTATGATTTAAGTTGAATTCTCCGATCAACCTTCGTATGTTTAGTCTTTTTGTGTAATATCATGTTCAGATAAGCTTAAGTGTTCATAGGATTATTCATGTTTATGCGGTGTTCGACCAAGGGGACGTGGTCGCGCATATAGCGCACCACGGGCAGTGCATGTGCGTTAAGTATGTTTAGTTCAAATCCTTCGAGTATATCATGTTATTTTATTCAGTAATCATGGATCATGTTCGGTTAATTATGATTTGCCGAGAGAAAATGAGGTTCGGTCGTGAAACGGCTTAACGCCATCGGCGGCGCACGGGGCGTCCGCCGCGGCCAAGTTCAGTCCATTGATCAAAATTCA